ATATATTCTTATACAAATAAACATTCCTATAAAATGTGTTACACAGTGCAAACTAACGTCAGAGTAAATTTAAAACAAGTTTATGCAATCAGATTTAACCCTAAAGATCTAAAATTAGTTAGGAAGCCTAGCACATACCGAATAATGTAATGGATAAATTATGCTGCAGATTTCGAAACCTACTAGACGTTTAGTAAATTAATCGTAATAAAAACTTTATTCTTAAATTTGTTTAAACAATACAATGCAGAATTAAGTATTTTTACTCTCCATACAAATACGGTGTATTTTAAGCAAATAGTGGCTGAGAAAATGTGATTTTTATTCTGCACTGTCCAAGTTCGAGTTCACTGGGAATCTCGAACTATTGCCTAGATTCTTTACCATTAGTCGACGTGTGTCTGATCAAGCGATTGTCTCTAAAACAATGGGCGCTTCGAAATCTTATCTCGTCAAATTAATTTTTAAATTAAAGAAACGCGTTCAGAAATGAGAGTAACTTTTGTAAACATGATCGCAAAACTGTGTGAACAGTTAGAAGTTAGTACACTGGACTATCGAACAACAGACCTTAAAAAAAAAAAAAAAAAAAAAAAATCTGACGACAAATATGGAGTAAAATATAATTGTTATTAAGATGTAACTTCCATGTACAAATACCATTTACTTTCTCCCGGTATATATAATATTATGATGTATTATTGCAGTATGACATATTGAATAAGAAAACTTATTTATCAGTTGATAAGTATATATATATACTTAATACTGTTTAATGTTGCATTTTAATTATAGGCTAATACAATAAATGTGAACTGAAGAAGCTAATCACTAGTTAATTAATGTAGGCATATAATAAATATTAACGATCTCATTTTTGAATGACAACAACACACATGTACCACTTCAATCATATTATTTGATTAATTACTGTATGTGTGAGCACAAAGTCAATGGCATAAAAACAGTTGCCTGGGGCGAGATCTGTGCCTATATATCACCCCTGCGGTCTAACGGTGTAACACTCACCTTATTCTCACCAGAGACATTTTTTTTTATCATACAACTGAATATTTCGTTGAAGAGCTGTTTTATATGTTTGAGATCTCATTAATATTGCTATCAAATCACACACACACACACACACACAC